CAGTGAACATCAGTTCTTCACATATCTGCTGTCCAGTCCATGTACAAATGTCTGTGCATAAATTTTTTAATAAATCATTTCACGTGTTTGAAATATTTCCAGATAATATCCCCACGTGACATGACATTTGGTTTTATGTCTCCTGAGGTCCTCTTAGTCTCGAGCAATCTCCTTTTCCTTTTTTCCCATGCTGTTGACTTGGTGTGTCCTCCTGTGGAAAATCCTCATTCCGGATTTGTCTATATTTCCCTCCTTAGAATGAAGGCTTGGTTAGATTCAGTTTCAACTCTTGGGTAAAAATATTTCAGAAGCAGTGTGCGTGGGTACTTCATGTGTGCCTGGTTTCCACCTTTAGAAATGCGAAGGTTAGCCATTGAATTCCGCCAGGAGTTTGTGTAAGCCTCTCTGTTGGTCTCTTCATTGGTACTCTTTCCATCATCAGTTATCTATTGGGGCATTGCAATGTGGAGACTCTGGCTGTTTTCTCTATTTTTTTTAACTGGACTTCTTCTGCAGAGCAGGAGTAGAAGCATAAATATTTAATTATTCCTTTAAAATTTTAATTGTCAGAATCAGGAGTTGGTGTCTCAACTATTTTCAGCCATAATTCATGAGTTACAGATTTTGGGAAGATGAGAGTGGCTTTCTCTTACTTTTAAAGTATCAGTTTGAACTCGGGTCTTTTTTTTTTTTTTTTTTTTTTTTTTTTTGACAGGCAGAGTGGACAGTGAGAGAGAGAGACAGAGAGAAAGGTCTTCCTTTGCCGTTGGTTCACCCTCCATGGCCCGCCGCGTTGATCCGATGGCAGGAGCCAGGAGCCAGGTGCTTTTCCTGGTCTCCCATGGGGTGCAGGGCCCAAGCACCTGGGCCATCCTCCCACTGCACTCCCTGGCCACAGCAGAGAGCTGGCCTGGAAAGAGGGGCAACCGGGACAGAATCCGGCGCCCCCTACGGGACTAGAAACCCCGTTGTTGCGGCGCCGCAGGCGGAGGATTAGCCTAGTGAGCCGCAGCGCCGGCATTTTTTTTTTTGTTTGTTTAAAAAGATGTATTTATTTGAAAGACTGACAAAGAGGGAGATGGAGAGGGGAGGAAGAGAGAGCAGTAAGGAGGGAGGGAAATGGTAAGGAGGGAAGAGAGAGAAGAGAAAAAGAGAGAGATCATCTTTCATCTGCTGGTTCATTCCGCAAATAACTACAAACAACAGCTAGGCGTGGGCCAGGAACTCCATCCCCGGTCTCCTTGTTGGTGGGAGGGCCCTAGTATTTTAGCCATCATCTTCCTGCTTTCCCAGACACATGAGCAGGGAGCTGAATCAGAGCAGAGGAGCTGGCACTGAATTGGCACTCTGATACGGGATGCTGGCATTGCAAGCTGCTGCTTAACCTGCTGTACCTCATGGGTCTTTAGAGAGGGACATGAGGGTATTGTAGAAATCATGGATACTTGAAATTAAACGATAAATTTCTTTTAGTGTAATAAGTTTTTTAAAAATTTTATTTGTTTGAGAGGTAGAATTACAGACAGAGGAGAGATCATCCATCTGTTGGTTTCCTCCCCAAATGGCTGCCACTGCCTGAGCTGGGCTGATCCAAAGCCAGGAGCCAGCAGCCTCTCCTGGGTTCCCCTCGTGGTACAGGGGCCCAAGCACTTGGGCCATCTTCCACTGCTTTCCCAGGCTACAGCAGAGAGCTGGATTGGAATAGGAGCAAACCGGGACACAAACTGGCACCCATGTAGGGATGCCAGCCCACAGGCAGAGACTTAACCTACTACGCCACTGCCCAACCCCAGTGCAGTAAATGTGTAAAATTCACACATAGCTTTTTTGTTTGTATACATTTTTATAAACTTTTTGAAAAGTCCTTGTATGCATGCATCTCAGGGCTTTTGCATTTCCCACCAGCTGTTTGACGGTCCCATCCTATTCAGTACGTTTGGGTCAGTCGCTTCTGTTGACAGTGGCAGCTGAGTCAGCGTCCTTGCTCTTTGGCAGAATAAGGTGTCGGAGGCTTCTGTTGCACATGCCCAGCCGAGCTGGGGTTCTCCTCTCCTCTCAGAGTCCTGCTTCCTTTCCGTGCTCGCGCTCTGGGCCGTCACTGCCCGTAGGCTTTATTTGGTGGGTTCTTTGTTTCAGGTTGCCTTCAGTTTCTTGGGATCGCATCTGTAATGTCTAACTTTTTAAAATACAAAATATTTATTTTATTTTAAAGCTAAGCTTTGTACCTGAATATATTGCGAGAATTTTCACCTTCCTTTCTAGGTAACCATGGCTTCTCTTCCCTTACAGGAAGCAATTTTTTTTAGGTTTTGGTTATTCTAATGTTTTGAATGAAGTATTTGTAGATATATAAAAGAAATACATATGTAAAATTCATATTTCCTTCCAGTATTGCTCTGGACCTTCCTTTTTTAAAAAATATTTATTTATTGAAAATCAGAGTTAAGAGAGAGAGAGAGGTTTTCCCCACTGATTCGCTCCCCAATTGGCCGCAAAGGTCAGAGCTGCAGGAGCTTCCTCCAGCTCTCCCACGTGGGTGCAGGGTCCCAGAGACTTGGGCCATCTTCTGCTTTCCCAGGCCATAGCAGAGAGCTGGATGGAAGTAGAACAGCCCGGACCAAACCAGCACCCATATGGATGCTGGCACTGCAGGCAGCAGCTTACCCGCTATGCCACAGCACTGGCCCCTACACCTTTCTTTTTTTTTTCTTTCTTTCTTTTTTTTTTAAGATTTATTTATTTTACTAGAAAGTCAGAGTTACACAGAGGAGGAGAGGCAGAAGCAGAGAGAGGTGTTGTCCATGTGCTGGCTTATTCCCCAGTTGCCTGCAATGGTTGGACTGCGCTGATCAGGAGCCAGGAGCTTCTTCGGGTCTCCCACGTGGGCAGGGGCCCAAGGGCTTGGGCTTGGGCCATCTTCTACTGCTTTCCCAGGCCATAGCAGAAAGCTGGATCAGAAGTGGAGCAGCCAGGACTTGAACTGGCGCCCATATGGGATGCCGGCACTGCAGGCGGCGGCTTTACATGCTGCGCCACAGTGTTTGCCCCTGCACCTTCCTTTTTACATTTAATCTTGGAGGTCACTTAGTACGTAGATGTGGTGATTATCCTTTAGCCTTACTAAGATGCATGATATTTATTGCATGTACTTTCTTCTATTCAACCCTCCCCTGTTGATGGATTTTTGTTTGTTTCTGGCTTTTTCCATTGTAAATAATGCTTCAGTGAGTAGCTCTGTAGATATTAATTTAGTGTTCTTGCCCTGTGTGTTTGAGAAAGATTTTAGATTTGGAATGGTTAGGTTAGGCATAAATGCATTTAGGATTTTTCTAGATTTGTCAGTTCCCTTTTATCTACCTGGTACCATTTTGTATATGTGTGTATATGTACGCGTATGATTGACTGATTTACTTGAAAGGCAGTTGCGAGAGAGAAGTCTTTCATCTGCTGATTCTCTCCTTAAATGGCCGTAACCACCAGAGCTGCACCGATCCAAAGCCAGGAGTCCCACCTACGTGCAGGGCCCAAACTTAGGTCATCTTCCACTGCTTTCCCAGGCCACAGCTGAGAGCTGGATCAGAAGTGGAGCAGCCGGGACATGAACCGGTGCCCATATGATGTGCGGCACTGCAGGCGGTGGCTTTACCCACGCCACAGTGTCCGCCCCTGGTATCATTTTGTACCATTTGCTGCAGCGATGTTGTGGGAGTGCATGTTGGCCTCCTGCCTTTCCACCAGAGTGTATTGTGAGATTTGGATTTTTGCCAACAAAAGCTAAGAAAGTTTTAATTTGTGTTTTCTTATGTTGAATTAGGTGAGCGTATTTCCATATGCTGGCTCCATTTTCACTTCTTTTGTGACTATTCATGTATTTTCTCATATTTCTGTTTAGATGATTGCTTATTTTTTTCCTCAAAAAATTTTTAGGAACTATTATACTTTAGAGTTATCAGGATGATAGACTATCAACTGCCATTTACTTAAATGATTAAGGAGTTTCTTATTAGTGATAAAAGCAAATACAGAATGGAACAACTTATGTCTTCAGTCTTGGTATTATTAATGTTGATCTACTTTTAGAAACTGTGCTCTTAGTATTACTGTTAAATTGTCCTTATGGGCTGGTGTTGTGGTGTAGTGATTAAGCCACCACCTGCAACACTGACGTCCCGTATGAGTGCTGATTCGAGTTCCCAAGGCTCCTCTTCCAAATCAGCTCCCTGCTAATGGCCTGGGATAAGCAGTGGAAGATGGCCCAAGTCCTTGGGCCCCTGCACCCACGTGGGAGATCTGAGGACTCCTGGCTTTAGTCTGGTTCAGCCCTGGTCATTGTAGCCACCTGGGGAGTGAACCAGTGAGTGGAAGATTAATCGATTAATATCTCCCTCCCTCCCCCCTCTCTCCTCCCCTCCTTACTTTCCTCCCTCCCTCCCTCTCTCTCTTTCCCTTCCTCCCCTCTCCCTCTGTAATTCTGATTTTCAATAAATAAGTCTTAAATTGTCCTTAAAAAGTTAATCGTATTTAGACATTACCATTAGTTAATTTGAGGGCATTGGAAAGGCAGAAATCTTAGATAATAAGCCTTTTAAATTCTGGTTTTCATACTGTTTAGTTTGAAAAGAAAAATATTATACGCTTTAGATTTTTACATATGTCAGCAGGACCACTTGTGGAATTTCTTGTATGTGCTAAGTTTCGGAGATGGTTGTGTCACTTGATTGTTCATCAGTTTCTGGGGTATCTGAAAGATGCCTGCCTGCCTGCCTGTTACTGTAGATGGTGAAGGTCGAGTCAGTGAGTTCATGGGCCAGGAGACTTAAAGGATAACTTGTAGGGTGGTACTTGGCAGTTTCCTTTTCACAGATTGCATTATTCATCATGAGTAGTTTTTCTTTTTCTTTTTTTTAAATAGTCATGTAATGAAATCCTCAATCAAATGTCTTTTCTGACAGTTATTTTTATGATTTCCAATTTAAAAATCAGATATTCTATTTTTCTAGAAGAACCTAACAAGACATGTGACAGCAGTAACACTAGTGCTACCACTACCTCCATCCAGCCTAATCGGAAAACAGTAACAGCAGCAGTGAACTAAATTCTTCCCA